CCAGTCGGACAGCAACCAGGTGCGGCTGGCGTCGGCCGCCCACACGCCCACCAACCAGCCGGTCGAGGTGTGAAACTGGCAAGCGAGCAAATTCACCGAATACTACGTTTAAGGACTTTTGTACAAAACCAGTGTCTTAGTGTGTTGCGCGGGCCGCCAGGCGGCGCTGAATGGGGGGCGGCCTTCGCCCGCCCATTGCAGCGTTGCCAGCCCACCGATGTAGATACCGTTTGTAGCCCACCCCCTCCCGGTTGGACCATGTACAGATACAGTAACTAGCTGAATTTCTAGCGCGTTTTTCAGGGTTTTCTACTTTTCACCACTTTTTATATAAATAGATCGATAGATAGTTAGATCGCGAAACAGCGCAAAACGGGCGGGGGCGGGCCAGGCAGCCATTTGGCCCGCCCCTTTTGCCAGCCACCTTCCTTTGAATGATTTCCTCGAATTTTCTGGTTTTTTGCTGTTAAATTGCGTTAAATGGGGGGCTTGCGCCAGCCATCGCAAAACCCTCAGTGTTAATAAACTTTCAGTTGAAATTTCCGGAGTTTTTTCTCACCATTCAGTGCGTCACCGCTGCGGGTGCCCCTGAGGTTGGAGCAATCGAAACGTTGCCTGCGCGAAAATGTGCGGGATTCAAAGGGCTTTTCGGCAAAGTTTGAATTTCGAAAATCGCTTGATTACTAGTGAAGTTATGAAGGCTGAAAGGTTGCGGGTTGGTCCAGTTCCAAAGGGCGTCCTTGTTATTTCGCTTTTAGCGTCGATGTTTATCGTCCGATTTAGACACGCCCTGAACGAAAAAACTGGGAATTTCAAAGGGTTTTCTGGAAGTTTTCCAATTTTTCACTTCCGTCAACCAGTCGCCGAAAAACGAGCAAAATCAAGTTGCAGTTTCGGGATTCAGTAAAAAGTGGCACTAATTTTTTTGACCAAAAATTCGGACTAAATTTTTTATTAGACGGGCAATTTTTTTGAAAGGGCGACCTTGTTATTTTTAACAATAACTCGCTTATTTCCTGCCGGACTAAAACACTATCTGAGCAAACATTGGAGATTTGTTAAAGAGCTTTAAGGCAGTTTTTGAATTTTGAAAATTGGCGCATTTTTCAACGAGTTACGAGTCAAAATCCATTGAGAAGCACCATTAAAGAGCGCCAATTCTTTGGGTATGAACTCGTTTGAAAATTTTCTTTTACAAAAAAATATCGACATTTCGAAGAGCTTTTTCAAGAACAATTTATTTTCTCTTGAAAAAAAAATGTTAAATTTTAATGGGCGTCCTTGTCAAACAAAAAATTACGAGCTTCGAAGTGTTTGAAAGCGTGTTTCGGAATTTTTGAAATCCGTGTATTTTTTAAACAATTGCTGAACAAAATCCTTTCAGAAACAACATCAAAAAGTGTCAATTCTTTCTTTACTGGCACCATTGAAAAATTTTGTTAACAAAAAGCATCGGCAATTGAAAAAGTTTTCGACAGTTTGTTTGCTTTTGCAAACATCTTCAAATTTCAAAGGGCGTCCTTGTTATTTTCCCTTTAGAAGCCTTATTTTGAGGCCGATCGAAAAACGGTTCAAGCAAAAAATCAAGAGCATTTCAAAGCCTGAAAGTGAGCTTTGGAATTTTTTAAATCCTCGCATTTTTTAAAAAACTACCGCGCTAAAATCCATTGACATGCACCATTGAAGGGCGTCAATTATTTGTTCATTAACCGGATTGAAAAACTTCTTCGACAAAAAATGTCGACAATTTAAAGAAGTTTTTGATAGTCTGTTTAGTTTTGGAAAAATAGTGAAAATTCAAAGGGCGTCCTTGTTATTTTCCCTTTAGAATCCTTATTTTGAGGCCGATGGAAAAATAATTCAAGCAAAAAATCAAGAGCATTTCAATGGCTGCAAGTGACCTATAGAATTTTTAAAATAATCTCATTTTTTAAAGAATTACCGCGCTAAAATCCACTGACATGCACCATTAAAGGGCGTCAATTATTTGTTTATTAACCGGATTGAAAACTTCTTTGACAAAAAATGTCGACAATTTAAAGAAGTTTCTGAGAGTCTGTTTAGTTTTGGAAAAATAGTGAAATTTCAAAGGGCGTCTTTGTTATTTTTCCTTTAGAATCCTTATTATCAAGTGAATGAAAAAATAGTTTAAACAAAAAATCAAGAGCTTTTAAAAGCCTGCAAATTAGGGTTGGAATTTTTAATGCGCGCGCATTTTTCAAAAAGCAATCGAGCTCCAATATGGATTTTAGTCCGATAATTGAAAAAAATCTTCAACAAAAAAGGTCGGTGGTTCAAAGAACTTTCTGATAATCTGATTAGTTTTGGCAAAATTGTCGATTGTCAAAGGGCGACCTTGTTATTTTCCTTGTAGCACCCTTGTAGTGAATGTAATGGAAAAACGGTTCAAACAAAAAATCAAGAGCTTTCAATCTCCGACAAGTCGGTTTTGGAAATTTCAAAATCCGCCCATTTTTCAAAAAGCTCTGCGCTAAAAAATACGTTGATCACCTCCAAAAAATGGTCAAATTGCAACATTGAACGAGGAAAAAATCCAGAGAAAATCTACTGTGCACTGTGTATTTCCGTAGCATCGACATCCAAAAAACCAACAATGAGAAAACCACGCAAACATCAACTATATACAATACCGGTTAGGTGGCGCATCCGCCATTTCGTCCACAACAAATCGAATCGCCCTAATTCGGCTGATTGATGAAGGTCTGCAGCTCCTTGAGATCGATGTCGCGAGCGGGGGCGGCGCCCTCCTGCTGCCCCAATCGGCTGCACGACTTTTTGTGCCACGTCCAGTGCAGCCGCTGACAGTTGCGGTCGCAGTACTGCACCACTTTGCATTTGCTGCACTTTTTCGTCGGCTTCTCCTCGCCGCACGTGTTGCAATGGGCGACCGCGTCAAGAAAGCCGCGCTGTCCATTAATGCAGGCGCTGATGACGAAAAGGGCGGCGGGCGCGTCGTCGCCCGACAGCGTTGCCACCATCTGCCTGAACAGGGTGCTCTCCCTGAACGGAAACTCGCGGATGCACTCCTTCAGGAAACCGTCCATGTACTCCAGACTGTCCTCTTTGCCTGCGGGCCGACAGCGATTTTAGTGAGGATTTTTGAGGATTCGGCGGGGTTTACCTGGTTTGAGGAGTTTGCGGGCGAACGCCTCCGTGATGTCAATGGGGCGCTTCTCCTCCTGCTCCCGATTGGCCGCCTGGCGCACCTTCACCTTCCCGATCTCGCCCACAATGTACCCCAAATAGTACAGCTTGAAGGACATGACCTCGTTGCTCTCCTGGCCCCTTTTCATCTCTCTCTCGCTCATCAGGTCCAGCACCTTTTTCACTTCGGCCAGATGCTCCTGCAGCCCCACGAAACTGTGCACATTCATCACCACCTTGATCGGGTGGATGTTGATCTGCATGACGAACTTGTGGAAGCTCTCGAGCAAAAAGGGCGGCAGCAGGGGGGCGCCGCCCTGCCCCCCGTTGGTGTACACCTGCACGTCGCCCTTCGGCACGTAGTTATTGATCAGGGCCACGCAGTTGTGGTGGCCGACAAAGGCGGCCATTTGCGCCGGGCTGCGCCCCACCGTGTTCGTCTCGTTCGATTTGGCGCCGGCCTCCAGCAGCAGCAAACAGACGTCGGCGGAGCCCGACAGCGCCCCAAAATGCAGCGCTGTGTAGTTGTGCTGGTGCTCGCACAGCTTCACGTCGGCGCCCTGCAATTGCCGCGTTTACATCGGGCTGGGCGAATGGCGCCTGGGGGCGCAGCACCTACCTGGTCGAGCAGCACCTGCACCATCTCCCTGCTGCCTTTATAGGCGGCGTGCTGGAGCGGCGTCATTTTGTTCTCGTCCAGACTGTTGGCGATGTGGGGCCCCTCGGCCAGCAGCGCCTTCAGCAGAACCACGTCCCCCTGTGCGATCGCCTGGAAGATTTTACTGGGGCCCCGTTCACCGGCTGCGCCTTCCATCTTTTTGCCGAAAAATCCCTGGGGCTAAACTGATTTGTTTGCGAGGCGTGTTGACATTGGTCGGGGCGGTTTTCAGGTTAGCTGTCGTTCAATTGACGTCTGCCACTGGCCCTCGGGGCCCTGAGATGTTTGCATTTTTTGCCCCCTTACAGGGGCCCTGGCGCCCCCCGCCCCAGGGCCAGAGCTTCAGAGGGATTTTGCCCCTTTTTTAAAAAATATCGGCCGCATTTTCCTAGGCCGCTGCCCAGCTGGACGCACTTCTGGGCGTGGCCCGCCCCAAAAATATAAGCGGGTTTCATCATCTAGGGGCTTTGCAGCGCCACCGGGCCTCTGGGGGCGACAGCCCCCCAAATAAAACTGCCCTTTTGGACCAAAAAGCGGTTTTTTCCACGTATGAAAAGTCACTGGCAGTGGCACGCCACTGCCCCCTGGGGCGAAAGAACTTTTCCTGATGGTGACTTTACGGCTGCAAACCCTGGAATTTAACGCATGCCATGGCGTTCCGGGCAAGTTTCTGCTGGGGACACACCCATTTTTCGCAGGTTTACCGGGATATTTGCCCCAAAAAACACAGAAAACCTTCACCACTGACAGTTGCCATTGGGGGATTCAAAACTCCGTTTAGGGCCCCAATTGGGGCCCTCCCGCCAGTGGTTTGCTAGCAGAAGGCTCGGGCCAGTCCTGGCAACATCGGGCGCTGGCCCTTCGGGCTTGGCCCCCTTCAGTAGGGCATTTTTTTCCAAAAAACATCCTTCAACCCTCAAAAAGTCATGATTGGGGCAGGATTATCGGTTAAAATCGCGCAACAAACCCCAGCGGGGGCTGATAAGCCAGAGGCCGTGCCCCCGGCGGCCCCATTTCCATTTGGAGCAATTCAAAACTTTGCTTTATTCATTAAAAATCCCTATGCACGCCACTGACTTGGGCGGAGTTGTACGTCAACGTCGCCGAACTGGCGTTCGGCTGCACTCGCCGACCAATCAGAGCGCGGCGTCGAGCCGAACGGCCTCAGCTGGTCGGCCCGAGTGACCGATCAGTCGCTTCTTGACCGTGGTGGAAGGCGGTCACTCGTTTTTGTGCTCCCGGTGAATGCGCGAACGGATGTGCACACGAAATGGCGTGGGAAATGGGTGAACGTAATTTGGCAACCTGCACCAGACGTCTAGATGTGAGCAGTGGCAGCAAATAAGGCAAGAAATTGATTTTAATTGGGGTTTTCCGCGATTATTTACTTTACCGCGCGGCTCATGTGGCAGGAGTTTCTCCCCCCAAACAACGGCATTTTTTTTAAATATTTGCGCTTGTATCACTTTTCGCACTAGATGGTGCACAATTCCAGGTTTCTGCCCGTTTGCAGCTCGTACACGAAGACATTCCATGTACGAACGAGTTCCTGTGCAGTCGGGCAACGCTGCAGCCAGTTGGGTATTTTGTTGAATTGTTTTCTAGCATTTTTTTAAGTGCAGTTTGCCGGAAAATTGAAAATAACGCGAAATTGCGCTATGCATCGGGTTATTGCCGAAAACATCGTTGTCTAGATGTGTGGGCAAAAATTGGATTGGAATTCCCATTGCTCGGGTGAAGCTGGCGCGCGCCGGCAACAGCGCGAACCGACAGGGAGTGGCAATGATCGAGGCCATGCGCTAGAGGGCGCCAGCCGCCTGCGTCAAACCACCCCGTAATCTGTCACGCGACTGTCAGTGTTGTGTTGTGCCCGTGACAGCTATGTAGCTTTAAAAAATCGCACAGAGAGTGAAATCGGCCTAAACGCGCACAAAAGCGACCACTTGGTGCACAATGTCGAGCTTGAGTTGGTCGTGCCCGTGCTGTTTGCGGTTCATGTTCAGTCCGGAGGAGATGGAGCAGCGCTACAAGAGCCAGCAGATCGACAAAATGATCGAGAAGGACAAACAGGCGCTCAAACGGCAAATGAAGCTGCTGCTGTTGGGGGCGGGCGAGAGCGGCAAGTCCACCTTCCTGAAACAGATGCGAATCATCCACGGCATCAAGTTCGAGACGCAGCAAGTGCGCGAATACCAGCAGGTGATCTATCAGAACGTGCTGAAGGGGATGCAAGTGCTGGTGGACGCGGCCGACAAGCTGGGCATCGCCCTGGAGGAGAACCAGCACGTGGAGCTGGGCAGGCAACTGTTGCAGCTCAAGTTCCACAACAGCACCATCCTGGACTGCAGACAGTTCATGCAGTATGCGCCCCTGTTGTCGTTGCTGTGGAGGGACGCGGGCATTCGACGGGCCTTCGACCGGCGCAGCGAGTTCCAACTGGTAGGTGTAATTGCAGCTGACCCCGACCGACCACACTGACTAATGCAAATTCCTTAGAGCGACTCAATTGAGTACTTCCTCAACAATTTGGAGCGCATCGCGCAGCCCACCTACAGTCCCACGCACAAGGACATCCTGCACTGTCGCAAAGCGACCAAGGGAATCACCGAGTTCATCATCCCCATCAACAACATCCCCTTCCTCTTCGTGGACGTGGGGGGGCAACGGTCGCAGCGCCAAAAGTGGTTCCAGTGCTTCGACTCGGTCACCTCCATCCTCTTCCTGGTCTCCTCCTCCGAGTTCGATCAGGTGCTGCTCGAGGACCGCAAAACCAATCGGCTGGAGGAGGCGCGCGGCATCTTCGACACCATCGTGAACAACGTGATCTTCAGCACCGTGTCGATCATCCTCTTTCTCAACAAGCACGATCTGCTGAAGAAAAAGGTGAAGAACCCGGAGACGGACATTCGGCCGTTTTTCCCCCAGTTCAAAGGCAACAGCCACTCGATGGACGATGTGCAACAGTTCATTCTCTATCTGTTTGTGAGTGTGAAACGCGACGCCAAAAAGCCGCTCTACCACCATTTCACCACGGCGGTGGACACCGAAAACATCAAGGTCGTCTTCTATTCGGTCAAGGACACCATTCTACACAGGAATCTGGAGAATCTGATGCTGCAGTGACAGTGCGCGCGCGCGCCATCTAGTGGGACGACCAAGACTGACTACCACTAAGTAAGTTGACTGGATTTAAACTAGCCATGCGCGCCAGAGGTGGTGAGGGGGCGGGACGCGCCAGCACAAAGGACTTTTTTGAGAATTCCGAAACAAAATGCTACCAAAGATTCAGAAATAAGTTACGCTTGCGCCCCCCATCCCTCAGTGTGGTATTTTTTATAGACATTTATATACATATATATATATATATACATATAAGAAAATGTGATAAGTATCGGCAACTGTTCTATTCTTCGACTTGTTGATTAATGTTTATTTGTACAAATAATCCTGTATATTAGTAGAGCACGGTCTATCAATTAACCTGCCCGATATCAGCGGAACCTTTGGCTTCCACATGTGGAGTCTAAAAATATTTTCTCCTGTAAACACACACGCACACATGGACTTCTGCCTGTTTAACTCGGTTATTAATTGGCTGGTGGGCGCTGTTTGTTGATTCAGGCCTCCAGCGCCACGTTGCCAATTCGGGGCGAAAGGGGGAAGTACCGCGCGGCCGCAGATTTTTGCAGTTGAGTATTTTTTCCGCAAAAACGTTTGTTTATGTCAAATATTCGAGTAGGTGGATTTTGACAGGATTTCTGCTTAAAGGCGCTCTAAATTGATGGAGCTGTGGGTGCCCCTGATGTGAAAGCAATCGAAACGTTGCCTGCGCAAAATGAATTTTTGCAAAATGAACTTTGAATTTTGAAAATCGCTTCATTACTCGTGAAGTTATGAAGGCTGGAAGGTTGCTGTGGCCAGTTGCAAAGGGCGTCATTGTTATTTTTCTTATGGCGTTTGTGTGTCTGGCGCAATTGCAAAACGTTGATTAATCGAGGAAAATTCAGACTATTTAAGGCGCTTTAGGGTTTTTTTTTGAATTTTGAAAATCCTATTGGATTTGATGCAGTTATAAGTGAAATCGTTAAAAGGGCGGCGAAGTTATTTTGTTTTTAGCGTCGTTGATTAGGGTGCGATTGATTGACGGCCTGAGCGGAAAAACTGGAAATTTCAAATGGTTTTTTGGGGAGTTTTTCAATTTTTACTTTGCTCGACTGGTCTTTGGGTATTCAGAAGACATCAGCGCTAACTTTTTCAATAGATGCAGCGTTGTCACTTTTCGCCCCACTAGAAAACTTGATATTTTCGATTTTGAAGTAATTTCTTGTAAAGGGTGGCATTGTTATTTTTTTAACTTTCTGATTTGCGGTCGAAGTAAACAACTTTCTAGGCAATATATCGACAATTCGATGAACTTTTCCGAGGACAATTGGTTTACTCATGAAAAAAATGCTAATTTTCGAAGGGCGTCCTTGTTATTTTCCTTAAAGCGTTGTTATTTTCAAGCCGATACAAAAACTGTTCAAACAAAAATTTAAGAACTTTCAAGTGTCTGCAAGTGAGTTTTGGCATCTTTGTAATCCGCGCGATTTTTTAAGAATTACCGGACAAAATCCTTTGAGAAGCACCATCAAAGGCTGTCAGTTCTTTGTTGAACAACCCGATTGAGAAATTGATTTTAGGAAAATGATGGAAATTCAAAGAATGTGTGGACAGTTTGTTTACTTAAAAAAAATGTCGAAATTTCAAAGAGCGTCCTTGTTATTTTCCGTATAGAATCGTTATTTGCAAGCCGATGAAAAAATTGTTCAAACATAAACTCAAGAGCTTTTAAAAGCCTGTAAGTGAGTTTTTAAATTGTTAAAATCCGCGCATTTATCAAAAAGTTATTGTGCTAAAATCCATTGGCGTGCACCATTAAAGGGCGTCAATCTTGTATTTGTTAACCCTATTGAAAAACTTCTTTGACATAAAATATTGGCAGTTCAAAGAACTTTGTGACAGTTTGATTAAGTTCGGGAAAATTGTCAAATTTCAAAGGGCGTCCTTGTTATTTTCCTTATAGAGTCCCTATTTGGAAGCCCATGAAAAAAATGTTCAAACAAAAACTCAAGAGCTTTTCAAAGTCTGAAAGTCAGCTTTGGAATTAAAAGAATCGGCGCATTTTTCAAAAAATTATCGAGCCAAAAGCCGTTGATAAGCACTATTAAAGAGCGTCAATCTTGTATTTGTTAACCCGATTGAAAAACTTCTTTGACATAAAATATTTACAGTTTAAAGAACTTTGTGACAGTTTGATTAAGTTCGGAAAAATTGTCAAATTTCAAAGGGCGTCCTTGTTATTTTCCTTATAGAGTCCTTATTTGGAAGCCGATGAAAAAATGTTCAAACAAAAACTCAAGAGCTTTTCAAAGCCTGAAAGTAAGTTTTGGAATTAAAAGAATCGGCGCATTTTTCAAGAAATTATCGAGCCAAAAGCCGTTGATAAGCACCATTAAACGGCGTCAATCTTGTATATGTTGACCCGATTGAAAAACTTCTTTGACATAAAATATTTACAGTTTAAAGAACTTTGTGACAGTTTGATTAGTTTTGGAAAAATTGACAAGTTTCAAAGGGCGTCCTTGTTATTTTCGTTGTAGAATCCTTATTTGGAAGCCGATGAAAAAAATTTTGAAATAAAAAATGAAGAGCTTTTAAAAGCCTACAAGAGGGTTTTGGTATTTTTAAAATGCGCACATTTTTCAAAAACTTATTGAACTAAAATCCATTGACATGCACCATTAAAGAGCGTCAATTTTGTGTTTATTAACCCGATTGAAAAACTCCTTTGACATAAAATATTGACAGTTTAGAGAACTTTGCGAGAGTTTGATTAGTTTTGGAAAAATCGACAAGTTTCAAAGGGCGTCCTTGTTATTTCCCTTATGAACTCCTTATTATCAAGCCGATGAAAAAATTGTTCAGATAAGAAATGAAGAGCTTTTAAAAGCCTACAAGTGGGTTTGGTGTTTTTAACATGCGCACATTTTTCAAAAACTTATTGAGCTAAAATCCATTGGCATGCACCGTTAAAGGGAGCCAATTATTTGTTTATTGACCCGATGGAAAAACTTCTTTGGCATAAAATATTGACAGTTCAAAAGGCGTCCTTGCCATTTACCTTATAGAATCCTTAGTTTCAAGCCGACGAAAAAATGATTCAAAATGAAAAATCAAGAACTTTGAAAATCCGCGCATTTTTTTAAATTTGTTTTCGATGTCCCTTCGGATACTTTTTTATATAAAAAAACGTGTTTTTCTGCAAAAATTTGAACCACTTTTCACACAATAAAATTCCCAGGGGACAATTGGCGCATTTTGAGTTTTTTTCCCCAGAAAAATGCAATTTTCAGCATTTAGAGAGCTTCAATAACTGGCAAATGTGCGTAAACAGTGATGGTTTTCCCCGAGTATAGGGAAAACCTTGAAGCGACTTGGCAACAGTCAGTTTGCTGCTGTCGCGGCCATGAGTGAAACCGGGCGTGGTTTGCTGAAACTTTAAACGAGAAACTTTGCCCTGTTTTTCTCAGAGGGCTTTAAAGCAGGCAATTTTTCCCGATTTTTTAAAAAATGTAATTGTCGTTTTTACCGTTTAAAACAAAAAAAAATGCGGCAGGGCGCACATCACGTCCAACCGCGCCCAGACTACGCATACATGCGCGCACAGATCACAGCTAACCTCTCTGATCCGACAGAAGTGGAAGACATAGATAAAGACGAGGAAGTGGTGGAAGAGTCTGACACCTAACCTGCACAGCGCAGTGAAGAGTGCCAAACAGTTACGTAATTGTGCCCCAAAAGTGCAGCGCAGCACCATGTCAGTCTCGTCGGACACCGGGGGCGTGAAGCCGATGAAAATCGCCGGGCGATTCGTGAATGAGCGCGAACGTCTGGCGGGCATGAGCGATGCGGAGCGCGCGTGGCGCAAACAGTGGCTGCAGGACCAGGTGCTGGCGCCCAACGAGCCCCGGCACGTGCCCGAAATCTACGAGGCCACCCGCAACCCATTCAGGCGCCTCTACCGCTGGCCCATGAACCAAGTGATGAAAGTGCTGGTGCCCGTAATCGGAGCGGAAAAGGCCCACACCTTCCGGGGGGTGAGCAGTGTCCTGACCCTTAGCGTGCTGGCGGGGTACTGGCTGTACTACAACTACAAGTACCACAGCAACGAGTGGCAGCGGAGCGGCGGCTGGAAATCGTACACGGCCAGAAAGGCCGTCCTGCCGGGCGATCCCGGCTATCCGGCCGTCTCCGACAGGACCCAGGGAGCGGACTATGCGTCCAGGGGCTTCAAGGACTTTCACCTGGACATTTAGAGCTGTGCGCCCCCGATTCGCGCTAATGATCGTAGCAGCAATGGCAAATCTAATGTAGGTTTTAATAAAATTAATAGTAGGTATACAAATGAAGCGCTCACTTCCACAGTTTCTTAATCGACATGTTCTTTTCACTGTCCTTCTGCATCACCTTGGCCACCGCCATCTCGAAGTCCTCTTGCGTGACGTGGACGCGCCGCTCCCTCAGGGCGTACATGCCCGCCTCTGTGCAGACGCCCTTCACTTCGGCGCCGCTGGCGCCCGGCATCAGTTCGGCGATTTTCCGCAGATTTATGCCCCTGGTCAGGTTCATTTTGCGCGAATGGATCTTCAGAATGTCCAGGCGCGCCTCCTCGTTCGGCGGCGGGAACTCGATCTTGCGGTCGATGCGCCCGGGGCGCAGCAGCGCCGGGTCCAGGATGTCGATCCGATTGGTCGCCATTATCACCTTGATGTTTTTCGTCGCCTCGAACCCGTCCAGCTGGTTGAGCAGCTCCAGCATGGTGCGCTGCACCTCTGAGTCGCCGCCCGATCCTGAAAATCCCCCCAGGTTAAACATGCTGCGGCTGACTGATGGAGGAGCGCCCATCCAGTGGCGGCGCCTCCTTCCATTCCTTCATTTGCTTGTTCCTTACCCGATTCGATCCGGGACGAGCCAATCGAGTCGATCTCGTCCATGAAAATGATGGAGGGCGCGTGTTCGCGCGCCATCACGAACAGTTCGCGCACCATTCGCGAGCCTTCGCCGATGAATTTCTGCACCAATTCGGAGCCGGAGACGCGAATGAACGTGCATTCGGTGTGGTGGGCGACGGCGCGCGCCAACAGGGTCTTGCCAGTGCCGGGGGGCCCGTACAGGAGCACCCCCTTGGGCTGTGCGATTCCCAACGCGTCGAACAGTTCCGGGTGTTTCACCGGCAGCTCGATCACCTCCTTGATTTCCTTGATTTGCTTGTCGAGCCCGCCCACCATTTCGTAGGTGGAGTCGGGCACCTTCTCCACCATCATCAGCGACACCAGGGGGTCCACCTACAAACAAAAAACCGAAGTTCTGGGAAATTTCGTGGGAGCTGGCAACGCTGCAATTGGCACATGTTGCCAGCAACGTTGAAAGCACAGTGTGCCAAGCCATTCGAAAAATTTCGACTCTTCAAACTCTACTCTCAACTCGGAAAACTGAGATTGACAGTTTTCAAAAACACGCTATGATGAGCAAGAAGAAATTGGGAGAGTGAGACCATTTTTTTCGCGTAGCGGCAACCCTGCTTCCTGACTTTTGACAGCTTTGCTTGACAAACATGTCAGGTAGACAGCGCATTTGTGGTTAGTTTTGGCAATGTGCCCCTCAAAGTTTCAGGTGCATAACAATGTCGAACATGGTCTGCTAAAATTCACCCAAAAATTGGTTGTTGGAGATTTGGCTCGTTTTTTTGCCATTTTCTTCGAAGCGAAATGCTACTTATAAGTTTTTTTCGAATTGTTGAAAACCGTTTGACGCACTGTTTTTTCCGGCCACTCTTCTGCAAGAAAATTGCGCTTATGCAGGCGAGGTTTTGCATTTTTATTCACGATTTCCTTCAAAACTGCGTCAAGTCAATGCCCGACTGGTCTGACGTCACGAGTAAAAAATGAAATTTAGGAGGCGCCGGCAACAGTGGAATGGACACAGGTTGCGACATTAAACGCAGTTTAAAAATTTATCCGAAATATTTGGACTCTTGAAACTCTCAACGGCGAAAACTGAACTGAAAACAGAAATTTCTGGAAAAGCTATTTTTTTAAATACAGTTTTTTTTTTAAATACAAAATTTGCAGCCGATTTGAGCATCATTGAATTTGTTCTAAAACACGTCATGATAAACAAGAAATTTGTTTTCGCGCAGCGGCAACCCTGCTACCTGACTTTTGACAGCATCCACTTGACAAACATGTCAGATAGACAGGGCATTTGTGGTTAGTTTTGGCAATGTGCCCCTCAAAGTTTCAAATGCATTACAATGTCGAACATGGATCTGCTGAAGTTTACACAAAAAAACTGGTGGTTTTTGGAGATTAGGCTCGTGTCAGAGTGTTTTTTTGGCATTTTCTTCGAAGCGAATTTATCGATTTTGCGCACTCATTTTCCTAGCCTGATCTTGGACGTTTTCAAAAGGCCTTTTTTTTGGTTTTCGACTCAAAACGCAAAAACCGAGATTAATTCAGCTCATTTTCGCACGCGTTTTTTTATTTGAAAATTTTGATTTTGGCGATTTTTTTTTGAAAACGTTGAAACTTTTGTACGCAATTAAGGCAAACCGAAAGCAACGTTTTTCGAGAACGACTGTCTTCTGACAGAACAATTGACAGTTTTAGCGTTTCCAAAGGGCGTGTTTTTATCCTTGAAAAACTCCAAAATTGCTGTTTTGAAGTTAATTTTGGGGTTTTTGACTTGGAGTCGTATGAACCGATTTTGTTGAAACTCTGAATCCGATTTAAGCACCTGAAAAAGCTCAGTCGCGCAAAAGCGCGAAAAAACTGGGAATTTTATCTGAAGCGAAATGCTACTTTTATAAAGTTGTTTTCGAATTGTTGAAAAATTTTGAAGCAATTAAAAGGCCCCCGCTGCCTGAAAAATTGTATTTTTCCCGGCCACTCTTCTGCAAGAATTTCGTTCGGTTGTTACTCAAATATGTCCAAAATTGCGTTTGTGCAGACGGTTTTTTTGCATTTTAATTGACGATTTTCTTCAAAACTGATCTGCGCAGGAGTGGCACCGCCGCAAATCGATGCCTGACTGCTCTGACGTCACGAGTAGGCCGTGCCGGCTCTCTGCGGACAGCGGAATGGTCCTCGTGACGTCAGAGCAGTCGGGTCTGGACTTGCGGCGTTGCCGGTTGGAAGAATTCAATTGAATATTTTGAAGTTATTAATTTCCGTTGCTTCGTGCGATGTTTCTTATAATTTTGCTTTCAAAAAATGCTTTCCGCGGGCAGTTTCAACAATTCTCTACCCAGAAACATGCAATTTTCCGCATTTTAGATGGTCCAACGACCGTTTTCCCGAGTTGGCAACAGTATGTGCGTACCTTGTTGGGGAGGATCTTGTGCAGCGTGTAGCTCTCGTTCCGCAAGGCCACCCGACAATTGGGGGTCACATCGTTGATGTCGATGTTCTTGTCGATGTCGACGACGAATTTGCCCTCCGGATGCACCTTGACCAGCACCTTCTTCTTGTCCATCGGCTTGACCACCTCGCCCACATAGCTGCCCTGCTCCTGCAGCAGCATCAGCTCCTCGCGCAGCATCCGCACTGAAACCGCCGCCGCCTCAAAACAGCCGCCCCATTTCCTCAATGGCGGCTCGCGCCCCTTACCTTTGGCGTTCAGCTCGTTGCGCTGCGCCTGCAGYCGCCGCAGATTCTGCCCCTTTTCGGCCACGATCAGCTGCAGCTCCTCGATCTTCGTGATGTAGTAGGAGCGGAAGCCTTCGCCCTTCGGGCCGCCGCCATCCACCTCCATCTGAAAGACAATGCGAATTCGGTTTTTGTGTCGGGGCGCCCGGCCCACTGTCACCTGCCCTCGGGGCTGCCGCCTGCCCGTCGCCGATGAGCCCCTTTTTTACCAGGCGAGCGCGGTTTTTGCGCGACATCGATATCTCCTGCCCCATGAGGGCTACGGCGACGTTCAACGGAGGTGACAGGGCCAACAATTACCACCTACCTTGTTAATTACGGTCATTTTGGCTGGTTTTGCGCCCCCAGCAAATATCCACTAATCACGGAGTTTGACGTTTGTCAAACGTCGGTGACTTTTGTTGACAGTCGGCACGGCGGCGTTGCCCAGCCCATCCTGTCATGGTTTGGGCGGGGCGTCAGCCACGCCCCTGTTGAACAAAAAAATATAAAAATCAAACCGTGTTGTAGACCATATATGTTCGTTTCATCAAAGTCAAGGCAATAATTGGAGATTTTATTAAATTCTCGCCCACTCTTTTATGGCCCTTTTTCTAGTGTGCGCCACAGCGCAGGCAGCAACCGTGCACACCACCCGATTTCTTCTTCTCTATTAGGACAAGCCTGACCATCCGACACTTGTCAGCTTTGACGGCAAATAACCCTAAAGTTCGATGTTTTGGTTCTAAAAATAGCGATTACCCATTGTTCCATTGTTCCTGTGTTTGTTTTGCCGTGTTTTCCTGTTCATTTGTGTGTTTCACTGCTCCGGGCCAGCGATGTTTGGGCGTAAGAAGCCCGAGAGGCCGAAGCGGGACCGTTCGGGCAATCTGGCTCAGGTGAGTGGTCGTTTACGTCCCTAACGCCCCAACTGGCGCCCCTCCAAACGTTCCCGGTCCTTGGACGACATCCAGTCCACTCTACAACTCCCCCATATGCGGCCAAGTAGGGACTCGAGCCTTCCCCAGTGGTTAGGAGACACTCCACTCTAAACTCTCACGGAAAAATTCCTTCCAGTTCGGCCTGTTCGACGTGCCAGCCGACTTCCAACCGATGGGCGGCTCCGTGGACTCGGACGGGGGCGACAGCGACCTCGAAGCCGAGCTGGCGGCCCTCACAGGCGGCGGCAGCCACCGCCCCCAGCCCAAAAAGGTGACCAGCAGCCCCAACCCGAAAGTCCCGCCCCTTCAGCTTCAATGTTGTTGCAGGCGCAGAAGCAGCCGCTGCCGCAACACCAGGTTGAACAAATAGTGGCGGGCACGCTGAAGGACATCGACGCCGCTGTTGAAGACGAAGAGGTGGATGAAGATGATCCGGCCCTGTTGAGCGAATTGCAGGAGATCACCGGTAAGGAACTGGGGGGCCAACCGGGGGGCCAACCGAAAGCGCATGAAATCAATCCGTTTCGGGGTGTTTAGGTGAGGAAGTGGCGGAGGAGGAGCCGGCGCCGCCCACTGCAGCGGTATCGGCCGAAGTCGTCGACACTTTAGCCGCCCGATTGAAGGCCTACCAGGAGCTGGAAAAGGCGGCCAGAGAGGCCGGGGAAATCAGCAAAGCCAAACGCTTTGGCCGCGCCCTCAAGACCCTGAGCGACCTCCTGAAGACCGCCCGAGCTGGAGGGTAACTGCCATCATCCACCCCAGAAATCCCGCAAATAACCCCGATTTTCAGGCCAGTGGACCTGAGCGACAGCGCCGTCCCCCCAGAGATCCAGCCAAAGCCCTCAGCTGGCAACCATGCAAAGGAGCAGGCGGCCGAAGTCCAGAAGGCCGTGGACGAAGAACTGCTGGCCATGCTTTTAGGTGAGTAGGCCGGAAATTCGACGCCCAGTGGGGAAATCTGCGACTTTAGCCAGACAAAAGGAGTACAAACTGGCAGCACTGCAGGCGAAAAAGGGCGGCAACAGCGAGCTGGCGATAAATCACCTGAAAATTGCCAAAGTCTTCGACCATGTGATCGAAGCGGTGAAGCGGGGCGAAGCGGTCGATCTGTCCGATATGCCTGGACCGCCGGGCGAGCCCAGAATCCAGGAAAACGAGCGCCAGCAAAGCGGCAACACTGACAACGCGCCAGAGCCGCAGCCCCTCCAGGCCGGCACCATCGAGGAGGCGTTGCAGCAAAGGTGGGGGACTGCTGCGCTCCCATTGGCCAGCGGCTCAAACGCTCCTTTTCCATAGGTTGGAGTTCTACAAGGCGCACGAGCAGCAGGCCAAGGACGAGGCCAACAGCAGCAAAGCGCGCAGGTTCGGCCGCATTGTCAAGCAGTTCGAGCAGGTAGGACGAGAAACAGTGGGGGTGGGGGCTTGATGATGGTTGACTGGTTGAAATGCGCAGGCGTTGAAAGCGCACCGCGCAGGCAAAGGGGTGGAGTTTGAGGAGCTGCCCACGCCCCCTGGATTTGCGGCCATTCCGGTGCCGGGGGCGCCGCCTGCCGCTCCGCCCACTACCAGAGAAGCGCCGCCCATTCCGAAGCCCAGCCCATCCAGGGCGTCTGGTAAGGGCTCGAAACGTGCTGTTTTGCCGCGAATTTTTCAAGTTTGGCGAAAATGCGTGAAAAAAAATCTCAAACAGTTTTTCTTGAAATTTGAAAACTTTGGCGCTCGGTTTCAGGCAACAAACTGTCCACCACGCACCAGGAAAAGCAGGTGCTGATCCTGCAGGCGAAACAGAAGCAGTTCAAGGTGGCCGCCCTCAATGCGAAGAAAAAGGGCGAACTGCTGCAGGCCAAGGAGTTCCTCAAGCAGGCCAAAGGCTTCGATCGGCTGATCGAAGCCGCCGAGGGCGGCCTTCCAGTCGATTGGGCGACCATTCCCGTCTCGCCCGAGGCGAAGTCCCAGCTGGACAACGAGTACGACATCGTGATGGCCGACGAATGCACGGAAACTGCGGACAGCGACAGCGACCTGCTTTCCCGGCTGGAAACACAGCTGACCAAGCAGATGAAGATGTGCCTGAGCACGCGCGACCATCACAAAGCCTTGGGCGATGTGGCCGGGATGAACAGGTGAGGGCTTCGCTCAAATCGGCCATAAAATGACCACTAAACTCTTGCAGATTCGAGCGGCTGGCCCTCAATGTGACCAAGGATCTGGATGTGGTGCGAGTGGCCAAGCGAACCGGGCGCGCCCCTCCAAAGTTTCACTACGAAACCAAGGAGTTTTCGATCGTGAAGAGTTTCACCGAGCTGACCGACAACGAACTGGAACTGCTGATCGTGCGCGGCATCAACTACCGCAGCAACAACCCCAAAGACATCGACACTTACGTGAAGTTCGAGTTTCCGTTTCCGCAGGTGAGACGCGCCAGCTGCTCCGCACCCAGTTGATTAATCGGGCTGTTTTCCAGGACGCGCCCCACTCGAGCTGGACGTCCACCGTCAAGGACACGAACAATCCAGAGTACAACCAGACGTTCATCGTGCCGATCCAGAGGAGCTCGCGTCAGTGCCAGCGCGTGTTTAAGAGGCACGGCATCAAGTTTGAGGTTTACTCCAAAGGGTGAGTGCGTCCAAACTAGTCTGGATAGAGCTTTGGGGGTTTCACCGCTGGATGGAGCGCGGTTTTCTCTGTTAGGAGCTAGAGTTTCACCAACGTGGCCCTTGAGGGGCGAACGCCGCGATTTTTTTTAACCTCAACTGGCGGCAGCCCTAGCAGCTGTCGCTGGGGGATTTTCAAAATCGAACTGCGCCCCAACTAGTCGGGGTAGAGCTTTGGGGCTTTTACCACTGGATGGGGCGCGCTTTTCTCTGTCAGGAGCTAGAGTTTCACCAACGTGGCCCTTGAGGGGCGAACGCCGCCATTTTTTTTAACCTCAACTGGCGGCAGCCCTAGCAGCTGTCGCTGGGGGATTTTCAAAATCAAACTGCGCCCCGACTAGTCGGGGTAGAGCTTTGGGGGTTTCACCACTGGATGGGGCGCGCTTTTCTCTGTCAGCAGCTAGAGTTTCACCAACGTGGCCCTTGAGGGGCGAACGCCGCGATTTTTTTTAACCTCAACTGGCGGCAGCCCTAGCAGCTGTCGCTGGGGGATTTTCAAAATCAAACTGCGCCCCAACTAGTCGGGGTAGAGCTTTGGGGGTTTCACCGCTGGATGGGGCGCGCTTTTCTCTGTCAGGAGCTAGAGTTTCACCAACGTGGCCCTTGAGGGGCGAATGCCGCGATTTTTTTTAACCTCAACTGGCGGCAGCCCAAGCAGCTGTCGCTGGGGGATTTTCAAAATCAAACTGCGCCCCAACTAGTCGGGGTAGAGCTTTGGGGGTTGCACCGCTGGATGGAGCGCGCTTTTCTCTGTCAGGAGCTAGAGTTTCACCAACGTGGCCCTTGAGGGGCGAACGCCGCGATTTTTTTTAACCTCAACTGGCGGCAGCCCAAGCAGCTGTCGCTGGGGGATTTTCAAAATCGAACTGCGCCCCAACTAGTCCGGGTAGAGCTTTGGGGGTTTCACCGCTGGTTGGAGCGCGCTTTTCTCTGTCAGGAGCTAGAGTTTCACCAAAATGGCCCCTAAGGGGCCAAACAAGGGGATTTTTTTCGAATGCACTCAAACAGTTGCTTAGCTGAAGTGATGCCATGATTTTCTGGCTAGCTGCGGCTCTGGTTGCGCTAGCTGCATCTTTTCCGGTTTCAGTGGGCTGTTCCGCAGCGACTCCCTACTGGGCAGCGTCAACTTGAAGCTGCAGCCGCTCGAAACTGTTTGCGAGCTCCACGACAGCTTCGAGGTACTGGAAACCCGATTGTCACCCCGTTTCACTAATCGATTCTGTGTTTCGGCAGCTGATGGACGGCCGACGGAAGACCGGCGGCAAATTGGAGGTGCGTCTGAGGCTCCGCAGCCCCATCGTCACCCAGCAGGTGGAGCAGATCCAGGAAAAGTGGCTCATTGTCGACCAGTAGCGCCCCCAATCAGTCCAGTCAGTGCGGTCGATGCTGATGCCTTCTGTATTAACTAGGCTAGAGGTTTAAGTAGGGTTTGGCCCTATTTGGGGCCGGCGATGTAAATATGCTGAATGCGCCCGATGGGGAGGTTGGCGCGATTAAAGACCGGGCAGGAGCACGAGGACTTTCACAGTAAATCCGCCTTTTTACGCAAAAGCGGCCCAACAGGGGCGAACTTCCACTTCCCGGCAGGTTGTCACTTGGGGGGCGATCCTAACCTCAGTTTCCCCCCGATGATGCAAAGAAACAAACAAATGGCCCTGACGCGCACATGGTTGCCGATGTAGGCAGCAAGGATGACCAGCCTGCGGCTGTCACCTGCCGGACCCTAACCTCACAAAACAAAGTCGTTTGTTTGGGTGTGTCCAGTGACAATCCAATTAAGGGGCCCCAGAGTGATCGAGATGGTGCAGCTGCAGGCCTGCTGGGCCCCGTGCCTATGGACCGACAGCCTGAAAACCGCCTGCAAGGCGATCAGCTTCTACACGGTGGCCGTTAGTGTGGTGCTGATGACTTTCACCGTGTTCAACATGCTGGGGGGCGACTCCACGCAGCTCTACAATCCGCTGTTCGAGGCCGACGTCCGCTACTGTAAGTAGATGGGGTTGGGGCTGCGCCCCCACTAATACTTTCTTGAATTTGCAGCCATGCAAGTCGTCGGGGGCATTTTCCTGTTGTACTTCCTGGCGCTGATCGCGGCCGCCGGAGTGCTGGTTTACGGGCTCCATGTGATGGTCAGGGGGCTGATGCTGCCCTGGATGGCCCTGTTCGGGCTCGGGATTCTGTTCCAGCTGGTGTTCGGGCTGTGGCTGCTGGGGGGCTACTACATCTACGTAAGTGGCCTTGGGGCTGGAGTTTTCGGGAGTTGACCCTTTTTTTTTGCAGATTGAGTGCGTCCTGTACACGCTGGTGCTGTGGAGCTGGATGGCGTACAATGTAAGTGGGGGTTTTCCCCCAGAGAGGCTGGACAGTGGGGTTAATGCCCGGTTTTTGCAGGTTTACTGCTGGCTGGTGGTGCGCAGCCAATACAGCGTGTTCGAGGTGCTGCAGTCGCCCAACATCGAGCTGCTGTGGCCCTAGCCGGGCCCCCCAGGGTAGTTTTAGTAGTTTTTTTGTACCTTTCCACTTTATAAACGTCTCGGGACAGTTTCCAGGCTGAGTCTGTTTGATGCCTGTCCCCCCCATACCCCAGTCCGGCCGTTAATAAAAGGAAACCTGCACCGCAGACACGTTTTGCCGGATGCAAAGAGGAAAATCCGCCTTAATTGGTGCATGGGATGGATGATGTTTCCCATAGAACGGCGATGGTTTAGCATAAGAGGACCAGTTTGTCGAGCAAAAAAACGCGTAATTATGGACTGCGGGCAGCTAGCGGGGCTTGCGTGCCCCAAATTACGCTTCTCTGTTCCATCTACCTGCGAATCGCCCGGAGGCTTCGCCTCCTAATCGGGGCCTCATAATCGGTTTTAAATCGCTCTGCCCCTGGCCAGTGGCGCCGCATTTTTCAGCGAACAAAAATGGGGGCTTTTATCGCCCGAGACGGAAATGGTTGTGTGCCGATGGTACCCAGCGGAGCGGAGGGGGAGCCGGGCGATCAGTGGGATGGTGAAACGCGCCGAACAATGCAAAGAACTGTTTGGTTCGCTTGGGTTCCAGTGTGGAGTTGCGCGAACAGTGAACCATCGGCCGGTACCAGATAGGTTGAATGCCCTTGTGCGGTGGTTCGGAAGCACCCAGCGCTGGAATGGCCCCAACAGCCCCAACAAGTGAATCGTAGGTAAGTACCCGATTTTTTTTTTTTGGTGGTTCCTCGGGGGTTTTCGGGGCTTTAGCCGCGTTGGTTCTGTTGCGTAGTCGGTTGCGGATGAGCGAGCCTGCGGGTCGCCCCACTAGTGGGCGATTGCGTATGTTTTGCCTTTTCTGGGCGGAAGTCGCCCTTGAAGAAACTGGGAAAAGTTCGCCGATTTCGAGTGGTGCTGGCTTGGGAGCTGCGGCCACTTTTCCATTTTTCCGAGCGAGTTTTGCGTGTTCGATGGGTGAGTTTTCCGACGTTTGCCCCGTTTCCCGGTCGGATTTGCTTCCTGTTCTTTATGCGAAGTCGCGCTGGTTATTCGGCTAACGGTTCCGATGGACATTCGGATGATGGTTCGGCCGTAAACCATCTGGAGGCCCGCCTGGCGGCCCCACAATCGAAATCCCTGACCTGCCGACTTTCGATCTGGTTCACACCTTGAAAACTGTACACTCTGGTTTCAAAAAATCGTCTTTTTGCTTCTGACGCAGATACAGCCCTGATTTTTTTGCTAGATATGGAGCAAGGATGGTTCTATATCTGGGGCGAGTTTGGTCTTTCTGCGGGATTTGGGGGGATGATGGGAAATTTTTGAAAATTGCGCACTTTCAGCTTCCTGTTGGCGCTGAGCAGGCTCGGATTCAAAAATTCGTCATTTCGCTGCTGGCGCAGATAAACGCCTGAAGTTTCTACCAGATATAGAGCAAGGATGGTTCTATATCTGGGGCGAGTTTGGTCTTTCTGCGCGGTTTGGGGGGATGATGGGGAATTTTTGAAAAATGCCCACTTTGAACTCCCGGTTGGCGCTGAGCAGGCTCGGATTCAAAAATTCGTCATTTTGCTCCTGGAGCAGGTAAACGTCTGAAGTTTCTACCAGATATAGAGCAAGGATGGTTCTATATCTGGGGCGAGTTTGGTCTTTCTGCGGGGTTTGGGCGGATGATGGGGAATTTTTGAAAAATGAACACTGAGCTCCCGATTGGCGCTGAGCAGGCTTGGATTCAAAAATTCGTCATTTCGCTGCTGCCGCAGATAAACGCCTGAAGTTTCTGCCAGATATAGAGCAAGGATGGTTCTATATCTGGGGCGAGTTTGGTCTTTCTGCGGGGTTTGGGGGGATGATGGGGAATTTTTGAAAAATGAACACTGAGCTCCCGATTGGCGCTGAGCAGGCTCGGATTCAAAAATTCGTCATTTTGCTCCTGGAGCAGGTAAACGTCTGAAGTTTCTACCAGATATAGAGCCAGGATGGTTCTATATCTGGGGTGAGTTTGGACTTTCTTCGGGGTTTGGGGGGATAATGGGAAATTTTTGAAAATTGCGCACTTTCAGCTCCCGGTTGGCGCTGAGCAGGCTCTGATAAAAAAAATCGTCATTTCGCTCTTGGCGCAGATAAAGGCCTGAAGTTTCTACTAGATATAGAGAAAAGATGGTTCTATATCTGGGGCGAGTTTGGACTTTTTCGGGGGTTTGGGGGGATGATGGGGAATTTTTGAAAAATGCGCACTTTGAGCTCCCGGTTGGCGCTGTGCAGGCTCTGTATCAAAAATTCGTCATTGCGCTCCTGCGCCCGATAGAGGGCTGAAATTGATTGAGGATATAGAGCAAATATGGCTCTAAATCTGTGCCAAGTTTGCACGTTCCCGCACGCTTGAGGAGCTTTTGGCAAAAGCTCAAACCTAAAAAACCCACTCTAAGCCTTGAAAACAGTGCAAAAATTCCTGCTAACCTTAGGAACGGAAAGCGATTGTTGCCGGTTCGCACAGAACCATCGAACCATATTGTCGGCAGGCGAAACTTGAACCCATGTGGGTGGGTGTTTTTCCTTGAAGCCAGCACACCCGCTGATCGAGTCAATTCTTCTCCATTTCGAATCGCGCTCGGTTAGGCAGTTTTCTTCTGGGAAAAGTGCCGATAAGGCAGTGTATTTTTCAGTTTTTTGTCGGCAAATGGGGCTGCTTTCAGGGGGTTTTTGAATTTTGAAAATCGCTCGAAAACTACGCGAGTTATGCGCTTTTTTGCGCCGTTTTTGAGTGGCAATTTCTCCTGGCTTTAATGCGTTTTTGCGCATTTTGTGCATGGTTTTGCAACGGATTTTTTTCATTTAAGTGTCGTTGAGCATTTGAATGGTTTATGGTGCAAAATGGGACTTTTTGGACTTTTTTAAGTGGCAATTTTTACTTGATAGCTCGGCCGTTTGGAGGAATTTTTGACTGATTGAATCGCGGTTGTGTGGGGAAACAGGGAGGCTTTAGGAGGGTTTTTGAATTTTGAAAATCGGTCCAAAAACACGAGTGTTATGCAGTGTTTTTGCGTTAATTTTGAGGTTATCTCGGCAAGTTGTCAATGGTCAGTGGAAATTGCCAAAGGAAGGTGTGCTTGAGCCTTTGAAAAGTTGAGGTTGGCAAATGTGAATATTTGGAAGTTTTTAAGTGGCAATTTTTCCTAGGAACTCGGTTATTTTGGGGAATTTTTGACTGGTTGAAACGCATTTGTGTGCGGAATGAGGGACGCTTTAAGACAGTTTTTTATTTTTGAAAATCAGCCGAAAAACGCGGGAGTTATGCGCTGTTTTTGCGCGAATTTTGAGGTTATCTCGGCAATTTTTCCTCGTAACTCGGTTGTTTTGGGGAATTTTTGACTGGTTGAAACGCATTTGTGTGCAGAATGAGGGGGGCTTTATGACAGTTTTTAACTTTTGAGAATCCGTCCAAAAACACGCGAGCTGTGCACTGCTTTTGCGTAAATTTTGAGATTATATCGGAAATTTTTCCCCGTAATTCGGTTGTTTTGGGGAATTTTTGACTGGTTGAAATGGATTTGTGTGCAGAATGAGGGAGGCTTTAAGACAGTTTTGGCAATTTTGAGGTTATCCCGTAATTCGGTTGTTGGGGGGAATTTTTGACTGGTTGAAACACATTTGTGTGCGGAATGGTGGAGGCTTAAAGAAAGATTTTAATTTTTGAAAATCGATGCAAAAACACGCTAGCTGTGCACTGGTTTTGCGTGAATTTTGAGGTTTTCTCGGCAGTTTTTTCCAGTTACTCGGTTGTTTTGGGGAATTTTTGACTCGTTGAAACGYTTTTGTGTGCAGAATGAGGAAAGCTTTAAGTGAGTTTTTAATTTTTGAAAATCCGACCAAAAGCACGCGAGCTATGCACTGTTTTTGCGTGAATTTTGAGGTTATCTCCGCAATTTTCCCCTGTAACTCGGTTGTTTTGGGGAATTTTTCACTGGTTGAAATGGATTTGTGTGCAGAATGAGGGAGGCTTTAAGAAAGTTTTTAATTTTTGAAAATCGGTGCTAAAATACGCGAGATGTGCACTGGTTTTGCGTGAATTTTTAGGTTATCTCCTCAATTTTCCCCTGTAACTCGGTTGTTTTTTGGGAATTTTTGAGTGGTTGAAACGTATTTGTGTGCGAAATGGTGGAGGCTTAAAGAAAGTTTTTAATTTTTGAAAATCGATGCAAAAACGCGCTAGCTGTGCACTGGTTCTGCGTGAATTTTGAGGTTATTTCCGCAATTTTCCACTGTAACTCGGTTGTTTTGGGTAATTTTTGACTGGTTGAAACGCATTTGTGTGCGGAATGAAGAAGGCTTTCAGAAAGTGTTTATATTTCGAAAATCCGTCTAAGTACACGCGAGATATGCACTGTTTTTGCGTGAATTTTGAGGTTAGCTCGGCAATTTTTCCCCGTAACTCGTTTGTTTTGCGGTATTTTTGACTGGTTGAAACGCATTTCTGTGCAGAAGGACGGAGGCTTTAAGAGAGTTTTAAATTTTTGAAAATCGGTACAAAAACACGCGAGCTGTGCACTGTTTTTGCGTGAATTTCGATGTTATCTCGGCAATTTTTCCTCGTAACTCGGTTGTTTTGGGGAATTTTTGACTGGTTGAAACGCATTTATGTGCGGAATTATGGAGGCTTGAAGAAGGTTTCTAATTTTTTAAAATCGGTGCAAAAACGCGCGAGCTGTGCACTGGTTTTGCATGAATTTTGAGGTTATCTCGGCAATTTTTCCTCGTAACTCGGTTGTTTTGGGGAATTTTTGACTGGTTGAAACGCATTTATGTGTGGAATGAGGAAGGCTTTAAGACAGTTTTTAATTCTTGAAAATCGGTGCTAAAACACGCGAGCTGTGCACTTGTTTTGCGGGTATTTTGAGGTTATCTCGGCAATTTTCCCCCGTAACTCGGTTGTTTTACGGAATTTTTGAGTGGTTGAAACGCATTTGTGTGCGGAATGAGGAAGGCTTTAACTCGGTTTATAATTTTTGAAAATCCGACCAAAAACACGCGAGCTATGCACTGTTATTGCCTGAATTTTGAGGTTATCTCGGCAATTTTCCCCCTGTAACTCAGTTGTTTTGGGGAATTTCTGACTGGTTGAAACGCATTTGTGTGCAGAATCAACGCTGTTCTCATCACAACCGATTTTCGCCGTTTCAGGTCTCGCTCGGTCGATCAGTTTTCCTGCGCGGAAAATTGGAGGCAACCGAACATGACAATGATGGGCTGCTTTTGCGCCGACCACACCACCATCCACTGCAAGATCGTGTTCCTCGACGAGACCGAGCTGGTGCACGAGCTGCAGCGCACGAGCGCCGGCCAGCTCCTGCTCGACACCGTCTTCAAGCACCTGAACCTGCTGGAGACCGCCTACTTCGGGCTCAGATTCCTCGATCAGAACGGCCAGACCCACTGGCTCGACCCCAACAAGAAGCTCAGCAGACAGCTCAGGGGCGACGATCTCTGCACCATGTACTTTGGCGTGAAATTCTACGCGGCCGATCCGTGCAAGCTGCTCGAGGAGATCACGCGCTACCAGTTCTTCCTGCAGATCAAGCAGGACATCCTGCAGGGGCGGCTGCTGGTCGCCTTCGACTTGGCCGCCGAGCTCGGCGCGTTCGTGCTCCAGTCGGAGCTGGGCGACTTCGATCCGCGCAGACACGGCTATGGTTACGTGTCCGAGTTCCGGTTCCTGCCCAATCAGAGCGCCGAGCTGGAGCTGCGCATCGCCGAGCTGCACCAGACGCTCATTGGCCAGATGCCGTCGCAGGCCGAGCTCAGCTACCTGGACAAGGTCAAATGGCTGGAAATGTACGGGGTCGATCTGCATCCGGTGCTCGGCGAGGACCACGTGGAGTATTTCCTCGGACTGACGCCGAGCGGCATCATCGTGCTGCGCAACAAGAGCACGGTGGGCAACTACTACTGGCCGCGCATCACCAAGATCTACTTCAAGGGGCGGTTCTTCATGCTGCGCGTGGCCGGCAAAAGCAACGACGAGTGCACGTACGGGTTCGAGACGCCGTCGAAGTGCGCCTGCAAGCACCTGTGGAAGTGCTGCGTCGAGCATCATGCGTTCTTCCGGCTGGTGCAGGTCGCGCCCACCTCGCCCGATATCTTTGCGCTGGGATCGCGCTTCAGGTGAGTGTGTTGGGCGGCCTTTGTGGGGGTTTTGGCGTTTTGCCAATCGGKCSAARAACRCGCGRGCTGTGCACTGTTTTTGCGTGSATTTTGAGGTTAGCTCGGCAATTTTCCCCCCGTAACTCGGTTGTTTTGGGGTGTTTTTGGGTGGTTGAAACGCRTTTGTGTGCGGAATGATGGAGGCTTTAAGACAGTGGTTGGTTTTTGAAAATCAGCTGAAAAACACGGGAGTTATGCTCTGTTTTTGCRTKAATTTTKAGGTTAGCTTGGCAATTTTCCCCCGTAACTCSGTTGTTTTGSGGWATTTTTGRMTGGTTGAAACGCATTTGTGTGGAGAATGAGGGAGGCTTTAAGACAGTTTTTAATTTTTGAAAATCAGCTGTTAAACACGGGAGTTATGCTCTGTTTTTGCGGGAATTTTAAGGTTATCTCGGCAATTTTTTCCCGTAACGCCGTTGTTTTGGGGAATTTTTGGATGGTTGAAACGTATTTGTGTGCAGAATGATGGGGGCTTTAAGAAAGTTTTTAATTTTTGAAAWTCRGTSCAAAAACACGCGAGTWATGCACTGTAATTGCGTGAATTTTGAGGTTAAGTYTTCCAGCAGTTGATACTTGCAGCGGACATTTCAAAATTTGGGCGATTTGAGTGTCGCAGAGCATTTGGGGAGTTAAAGTTTGGAAAATGTGGGTTTCTGGTCATTTCGCCCGATATCTTTGCGCTGGGATCGCGCTTCAGGTGAGTGTGT